AACAACAAAAATTTTATTTTTTTTTTTATATTATGGTATTTTAATTAATTGAATTTTTGGCTGACCATACAGCTGTTTCGAGTATTGCCAAATACCCATCATCAGTGGTCTGGGAAATAATTCTTGTATTTAATTATTCGTAAATATTAATTTTTTGAGACTGCAAGTACCAGGAATCGCACTCGGGTCCTGCCAAATGTGAAGCTCAGAATCAGCGCACCTTAACCAACTGATCCAAAGCCGTACTTGACTTTTTTGTTCGTATATTTTTCTGGAGTTTTGTTACTATTACTATGAAAGTTTTTATTAATTATTTTGCTGTGTTTATATTAGAACGAAATCATAAACCAGTTGTAGAATAATTGAATTAATTAATTAATTATAATTTTATTTTCAATTGTTAATTATTTAATAACTAAATACTATAAGAACACATCTAAACGTATACGCATGTGTTTGCAATATACTATACAGAAATGTAACAAAATATGGAATACTTTTTTGTATTAAACATTATTTTATTTTAATAAATATTTTACGAAAACTGACAGACTTATCAACACCGCGTTATCGAATCTCAGAATGGTTACAGGTTCTTTGGGGAGGTATGTAGATCTGAGGTCAATTATTGTTTAGTCTGATGAAGAGATAAACAATAATCCAGTCAAGGCGTAATGAGGGGTTTTAAAAATACCTCGCAATTAATAGAGAGTAAAAGTGCTCAAGTGCACTGGCTCAAATAACTGCAACATAATAATATAATATTATAGAATTCATTTAAGTGAAAATAATGTTTTTACAAAAATTTTATATTGTTAATACCTTGTTTCGAAAAGAGTTATCTTATATTTTAGTTTATTACATTTTTTTTTTGATTTTTGTCACTTAATTTTTACACATTCAACAATTGTTGAATACTGCATCTCGTAAATATTGAAAATAGCACCACCTCTCCATGATATTATATTTTTCGTTTCTTGGACAAAGATATCAGAGAATCAGATTTTCTGGATTTTTAATTTATGTATATACGGTAGAAGCAATATTTTTACTGTAAAGACCAAAAAGCAATATCTAATTGGTTGGACATGCGAATATTGTTTTAGCAACCAAAATAAAGTAAATTTCAAATTTTATAGTTTTTATAGATTTGGTTCCAAGTGTCCAAGTGTTCTGGCCAGGTGCCTTCACTTTGGCATCTGGCATTTCGCACGTACTTATCAAATAAAGATTATGAATAGGTGAACTCTCCTCTTTGGGTCTTGCGTTTCTATTAAGATGCCATCTTTCTTAGATTGTATTTTTCTTTTACACCTCTTAATCTTTCTCTTGATGGTCATCATGTTCATCAGCCAGTATTAAGCCAGTTGAAATCGACGTTTTGGCAAAATAATGAGTAACAGTAAGGAAATTTATAAAAATTTATTTTTAATTAACTGAATTGTTGGGCTAACCCCTTTTTTCGGATACTGCTATATTCCCATCATCATTAATTTTATGTATCTTTAACTTAATCTTTATCTATTGTTTATTAATTATATTTATTGTTTTAAAGTTAAAAAGGTTCAAATAGAAACAAAAAGACAGCAACAAAAATGTCGTTTAATTGATTGAAATTTGGGTAAGCATACAACGTTGTTTCGAGTATTGTCAAGTACTCGTCATCAGTGGTCTTAGGAAATACTGGAATATTTGGTTTATAGTCCGTATATAATTTGTTCAGACTGCAAGTGCCAGGCTTAGAGCTCGTAGCTGTCAAATTAGAAGCGATGACTAATCATGTATAAAATTTCAATGTTTAAGTTCCAAGCTTTTTTTTTATTTTTTTTAAGTGACACTAATTAAAGCAATTGCGGTGTTTTAAATTAGAACGAGCTATGTAAAGCGCCTTTTTTCGGTGAAATTTTGGGTATAAAAAAGCTATGTAAATGTTTCTCT